GTCGCCCACCTGGCTTCACTGGGTCTTTCCCTCCTGGTACCCAGTGGAGTCTCCGGCGTCCAGTCTACGGTCTCCGCCAGGCGCCACGTGAGTGGCACGACACACTGAGGACTACGCTTGCGGCTCTTGGGTTTGCTCCTTCTACTGCCGACCCGTCGTTGTTTCTACGCACCGACACCTCTCTGCCGCCGTTCTACATCCTCGTGTACGTCGACGACTTGGTCTTTGCCACAGCTGACACTGCTGGACTCGCCTACGTGAAGTCCGAGCTGCAGAAGAGACACACGTGCACAGACCTGGGTGAACTGCGCAGCTACCTTGGCTTGCAGATCACCCGGGACAGAGCACGCCGCACCATTACCCTGACTCAGTCACACATGGTGCAGCAGGTCCTTCAGCGCTTCGGCTTCACGTACTCCTCGCCTCAGGCCACTCCTCTGTCTACCCGCCACTCGCTCTCAGCTCTGCCTTCGGATGAGTCCGTAGAGTCGAGTGGCCCGTACCCAGAGCTTGTTGGCTGCCTCATGTACCTGATGACCTGCACACGACCTGACCTTGCATACCCTCTTAGCATTCTTGCACGCTATGTTGCTCCTGGGAGACACAGACCAGAGCACATGGCTGCAGCGAAGAGGGTGTTGCGCTACTTGTGCAGTACGTCGGGCATGGGGCTAGTGCTTGGAGGGCGGAGTCCAGTGGTCCTCACTGGGCACGCGGACGCTTCTTGGGCTGACGACCAGGCTACGCAGCGGTCGTCACAGGGTTACACCTTCAGCCTTGGTTCCGGCTCTGTTTCGTGGCGGGCTACTCGCTCGTCTTCTGTTCTTGGCTCGAGTTGTGAGGCTGAGATCTACGCCGGGGCCATGGCTGCACAGGAGCTTCGCTGGCTCACCTACCTGCTGACCGACCTTGGAGAGCCGCCTCGTTCTCCTCCAGTCCTGTACGTAGACAACAAGGCCATGCTGGCCTTGTGTCGAGAGCAGCGACTGGAGCACAGAACAAAGCACATTGCTCTCCGCTACTTCCTTGCTCGTGAGCTACAGCAACGTGGACAGTTGCGGCTTGCGTACGTGGCCTCTGAGGCCAACACTGCTGATGTCTTCACCAAGGCACTTCCGCCTTGTGATCATCAGCGCTTCTGCACTCAGCTGGGTCTTGTGCCCGTCTTGCCTCACTTGCTCTCCTCTTGACCTTGCTTGTACTCTCACATATATATATACCTGCTCTTGCTTGTCTAGCTTTATATATATGTGTGTACTCTTGCATGTGAACTGGCCGTGTGGCCTTGACCCTGTGCTCGGACTGTGTGGTGACTTTGTGATCCACCCTGAGCTTGCTTTGCTTTGCTTTGCTTGACTGGTCTTGTGACCCCGTGTTCTCCCCCACTTTGCCTATGGGGGTGTGTCAGAACATTGTAGCTTATGCTATTGTGTAGGCTATAGTGGGGTATCCCATAGGGGGTACAACCAATTAGGGTTTCATATTTGTACTCACTTCATTTCATAGTCCACCCATTCTTGTTCAAATCTTCTCAACGATTTCATTCAGAATTGACGACACAGCGTCGGTTTGAACGAACGGCACTATGGCAGCAACATAGTCTTAGAAACAGAAATTAGGAAGAGTTACGAGTTGGGAATAACTCCCAGCCCCAAGAGCCGAGGTACAGTGATGTGGAACAGTGCCACACTGTCCCCAACCAAGAAGGGTCTCGAACCTACCCTTCACAAGGGTCTACACCAATAGAAATGTTACACTACACATTGTAATGTAACTATCTTCAATATCTTGAAGTGTACCCTTTTGGCGAGCTTCGAAACCACTTGAAGCTTGAAACCAAGGCTCGGGTTCTTCATCACAAACTCATCCTTGAGTTCTTGATGGGTCTGCTGCACACACCTGCGATACGCCGAACGCTCGACAAGCGACAAAATAGAAACCGCGCACGACAAAATAGAAACCGCGCGGGACACACAAAATGACCACGTTACACGCGACTAGCGATAATTCGCTATTGACTCGACACACAGACACTCGACATCATGACCCATCATAGACACACTATTATAAGCATGAAATATATATTTATTTCATGCACTCATTCCATTCCATGCACACACGCATGCACTCACACGGGCAACAAGCTGAGTGCAAACCGTAGGGTTGCACCAACACAATTGACTTAAGCGCCTCTGTCGTGTCGAAACACTAAGTCATAAGCGAAGCAGAACATATCGAAACATCGGCGAGTCAACCCTCGGAGGTTGAGCAACTGCTGGAGGTTACGCGAAAGTCAAAGGTCAGCGACTTTTGACTTGACAAATACAGCGCGACAGCAAGGACAAACAACTGACTCGTTATTGAGCAGTTGCCCGAGTCGTCACTGTATCGAACCGCAACAGCAACAGCAAAACAGTTATTAGTTATAACTGTTCATATTCCCTTGTACTCTTATAAAAACTTGTACCCTCATACCCCGGATAGAAGCGCCCCTGGGGTTGTAATAAAACACTGTTTTTTAGGGGGTGCGCTTATAATTGAGGAAATTTATAAGCGCTGGTGCTTATATTATGACATATATGAAATGCGTTTTTTTTAGACAACTGTAGATCTCGTTTTTGCATTTTGAATCGAGTCGAAACTATACAGGTCTGTGATTGAGAATCTCACTCGGACAAGCTGGCAGGGAATGGTTCCCTACCAGCACATACAGTCAGAATGAGTCAACTTACGCCCCTGACAAGTCATTCTGACTGGAAGTGCTGGCGATGAGCCGAGCGAGGTGAAGGGTATCGAGATTCAAATGTGGGGAATGAAAATGTGAGTTTCGTTACAACGGTTTCATTAAGATTATAAATACAACAATTAGAGGTAGCGCTTATAATCCGTAAGCCTTCAGGGGTGCGCTTATAATCGAGGACCGAATATAAGCGCCCTCATCCTTTTATAAGCGCCGGCGCTTATCCGAGGCCTGCGCTTCTATCCGGGGCCTTACGGTATCCCTTTGTTTTAATCAATCTACTTTGCCCTCACATACTAGTGCAAGGTGGTTCAAACACTTCACTAAAAGCTTCCGCTATTACATCATCCCTATCCAGAGTTTAGTCCTGTAAAAGGTCCTAAGGGCTTTTCTCAGCCCAACAGGAATAGCATAACGCATGTACCGTATGGTGATACGGTATTATATGCATCTTTCAAAGTATGCAACCATTTATAGGTTGGGATATGGTAGGGAAACTGGAATAGAGGCTTAGCTTCTACTTCTAGTGATTTACATACGAAAAAGAACCAGCACGTAAGTGTGGCTGACACAACCCATGTGATCCTGATGTGAGCATGAGGCACATGGAACGCCCCGTCGCCCCCCCACTTCATCACTTCTGCCCGTTATTTGCCCTTGCACCCTTCGATTCACCCTGGAGTTTGGGATGTCTTGTCTTGTCCCTTCCTCCTTCCCGTGCGTCCTGTCAAAGGAGGAAGGGAGGGAGGCTTGGGGGAAGGGAAAGGGGATGGGGGAAGGGAAAGGGAGATGCGGAATGGAAAGGGGATGGGGGAAGGGAAAGGGGGATGGGGAAGGGAAAGGGGATGGGGGAAGGGAAAGGGAGATGCGGAAGGAAATGGGGATGCGGGAAGGGGAAGGGAGATGCGGAATGGGTAGGGGATGGGGGATGGGAAAGGGGGATGGGAAAGGGGGATGGGGAAGGGAAAGAGGATGGGGAAGGGAAAGGGGATGGGGGAAGGGAAAGGGGGATGCGGAGATCGGAAAGGTCGATGCGGAGAAGGGAGAGAGGTATGGGGAAAGGGAATGGGGGATGGGGTAAGGGAAGGGGGGATGCGGGGAAGGGAGAGAGGATGGGGGAAGGGAAGGGAAAGGGGGATGGGGGGTGGGAAGGGGGGTACGTGGAAGGGACGGGGGATGGGGGAAGGGAATGGGGATGGGGTGGATGTGCAGCAGCAGCAGCTGCCGCACCACTGAACCCGTTCACACCCATTCACCGGCCGCGCCTCCTCCCGTCCCTTCTCATCTCGACGCGTCTCCTCCCGTCCCTTTCCTCACCTTTCCGTCGCTTCCTGTGCAGTTCCGTTGCTTCCTGTCCAGTTCCGTTGCTTCTTGCATTATCACGTCGCTTCCTATACTATCCCGGCGCTTTCATTTCCGCCTCATCCCTTCCTGTCCCTTCCCGTTCCCGGATGTACCCGGGACCTAGAACTGCGCGTCGCTCAACATCCCTTCCCTCCCCCTCCCCTTCCCGTCCTGCATCGTCCATTCAATTTCGGCGCGTCTCCTCCCTTTCCCTCCCGTCCCTTCCAGTCCCGTTTCGTCCAGTCGCATCCATCCTGTCCGTCTCGTCCCGTCCCGTCACGTCCTGTCCCGTCGAGTCCCCACCCGTTCCGTTGGGTCCCGTCCCGCCCGGTCCAGTCCCGTCGCGTCCCGTCCAGTCCCGTCACGTCTCTTCCCGCATCGTCGCGTCCCTTCCCCTTCCGTCGCGTCACTTCCCGTCCCGTCGCGTCCCTTTCCGTATCGTTCCTTCCGTCCCACTTCGTCCGTTGTCGCGCGTGCGGATATGCTATTGCTATGCTATTCCGTCTCATTCTATTAGTGCCGCGTCTTCCTCCTGGTTTTCGCGCAGGAAAGAGTCTAGGGCTGGAATGAAAAGTGGTTGCTCAACTGTCTCATATTATTTCTGCTGTGGTGTTATGCTTGGTTCCGTGTGTGCAATGCCTTCGTCGCACTTGGTGGTGTGTTTCGCACGAATGCAGTTCGGTAGTCGTGCATCTGCCTTCCCCAGCCTGTTGGGGCTTCAGCCAATCGCAAGTGCTCCCAACCAAACCCAACAGAGTTGCGACTGCTTGAGTGGTTACCCGGTTTCAAGCGTATTACACTTGGTTGGGTGTTGTGATGGCATTGGTATTGCTGCCTGACTGAAACTAAACGGCGTTAGCAATTTTGTGCCGTATTAGCTAACGGTTAGGGTTCCTCGTGCAGGAAGCGGCTTAGCATGCTAGAGTCATTTAAAAAGACGTTTGTAAGGGGTCGGGAAAAGCAGGGTAAGACAGACGCAGCGTCGCACAATGCAGGCAATGCAGCAGCAGCTGAAGCAATTGCCGCTCGGGGGGGAGCGGACGCAGGAAAGGCGGAATGCTCGCATCCGCCTCCAGGCGTCGCGAATCCAACGGCTCCCATCCGTCCCGACCCGAACAAAGAGATTGCGGAGGAGAACTTGTCCCATTTCGCGGAGCCGCCGCTGATGTTATCATCAGACATAAGTGGTCACGAGAAGCAGGTTCTCTTCATAAGTACCGGTGCAGCTAACACACGCCCGGTGAGAGGCCCACGGCGTGACGAGGACGAGGACGAGGAGGAGGGGGACGAGGGGGAGGAGGAAGAAGGCGAGGAGGAGGATGAGGAGGAGGAGTTGGCTGATAAGCTGCACCTCCTCTTCGATTTTAACGACCCCAAGGAACTCGAGGAGGATAAGGAATATAATCGGCGGTTTCTCCTCGAGCTAGTCGACTACGTCAATTGCGGAACCATGAAATTCAACGAGGCGGTATTCAAAGACATCACGCGCATGCTGGAGATTAATCTCTTCCGGCCGTTACCGCCGTCCGCGCCCGCGATGTCCGGGTCGGAACCTAAGAACCCGAAGGAAGAGGATCCGACTATGGAAGCCGCGTGGTCGCACCTGCAAATAGTCTACGAGCTGCTTAAGTATGTCGTCTTTAACGAGACCGACCAGAGGCTAAAGCTTTTCGTCGACCAGCAGTTCATCTTAAAGCTGCTGAACCTGTTCGACTCAGAGGACCCTCGCGAGCGGGACTATTTGAAGAGCATTTTACACCGGATTTACTTAAAATTCATGGATCACCGGCAGTTCATCCGCAAGGCGATTAACGACATCTTCGACCAATTCATCGAGTCGGAGCGGCACAACGGCATTGCAGAGCTGCTGGAGCTCCTAGGGAGCTTTGTCAACGGGTTCGTGCTGCCTCTTGAAGAGGAGCATACGCAGTCCCTGGAGCGAGTGCTGGTTCCGCTGCACAAGCTTGAGTGCGTGTCGATGTACCACAAGCAGCTGTCGTTCTGCATCACTCAGTTCGTGGAGAAAGACCCGAAGCTCGCGGATTTGGTGCTGCGCGGGTTGCTTAAGTTCTGGCCCTTAACTAACAGCCAGAAGGAGGTGCTGTTCCTGGGGGAGTTGGAGAAGATTCTGGAGCTGACTCAGGCGCCCGAGTTTCAGATGGTCATGACGCCGCTGTTCCAGCAGATCGCGCGCTGCCTCAGCTCCCCGCACTCTGAGGTACGGGTGTGTGTGATGCACTGGGAGGGAGGGGACATGAGGAGGTGTGAGGCGGTTTTAACAGGTGTTTCAGATGGTCATGGCGCCGCTGTTTCAGCAGATCGCTTGCTGCCTCAGCTCTCCGCACTTTCAGTTATGGTGGGACGGGGTGTGTCCGGGTGTAATGCAGAGCAAGGGGATGTGATACGGTGGCGGGGTGTGAGGGGCTGTGAGGAGATGTGCGGGGGTGTCGTGGCATGGCATGCAGACCGAGTTTCAGATGGTCATGATGCCGCCGTTCCAGCAGGTTGCACTCTGCCTCAGCTCCTCGCACTTCTAGGTACGGGTGTGTGGGGTGCATTGGGAGGGAGCGTGAAGAGGTGTGAGGCGATTTGAAAAGGTGTTCCAGATAGTCATCATGCCGCCGTTCCTGCAGGTTGCACGCTGTCTCAGTTCCTTGCTCTTCCCAGGTGCAACGCTCTCGCCCAATTTCAGGTACGGTGTTCTGGTGCTCTTCTGGCGTGCAGTGCCTCGGCTACTCGCACTTCCAGCTACAACGCTCCTGCTATTATGTCCCTACAGTCGAGTTTGAGTCGTCTCAAAACTCGGTGCCTCAGCTCCTCGCACTCCCAGGTACAACGCTCCTACCATTACGTCCCTAAGAACCCAATCCACTAGGTTTTTAGTTCATCTATGATGGTTGATGCTTCGCAATGTATTCCAAGTTGGTGGGGAGTTCGCGCATCCTCATTGACCGACCGACTGCGGCTAAGAGTTGAGATAAAGAGTGTGTGGGGTTCGTTTCCTTTGCTGTTTTTTCATGAGGGCAACATTATCTTTTGGCCTTTGTGATGGCCGCTGACTTTCTAACATGGCACTCCCTCCACAGTTCCCCCGCCGGCCCAAACCCCCTTTCCTTTTTCTCTTCTTCCAAAGGGTGGTGGAGTACACGCTGCGCCTGTGGGACAACGACTACTTCGTAACGCTCGTGGTGCAGAACATCTATGTCTCTCCCTCCACCCTCCCCGCCCCCCCGCAACCCTATTCCCCTTTCTGCAGGTGGCGAGGCGAGTGCTGTTCCTGGGGAACAACGACTACATCGTGAGGCTGGTGGCTCAGAACCGCACCACCATCCTGCCGCTCATCTTCCCCGCCCTTGACCGCAACGCCAGAAGCCATCAGAACGAGGTGTAGTGTGGTGGAGTGCAGTGAGGTGCAGTGGTGGAGTGCTTGGATCGTTTCTGAAATGTGGCTATGGCTGTAGCACGTGCATGCATGTCCTTGACATCTTAACCCTCTCCCACTGCATCTCCCCTTGCTTCACTCATCCTCGCTCCATCTCCCGCCTCCCCGCCTCCCCGCCTCCCCGCCTCCCCTCCTCCCCGCCTCCCCTCCTCCCCGCCTCCCCTCCTCCCCGCCTCCCCTCCTCCCCTCCTCCCCTCCTCCCCGCCTCCCCTCCTCCCCTCCTCCCCTCCTCCCCGCTTCCCCTCCTCCCCTCCTCCCCGCCTCCCCGCCTCCCCTCCTCCCCTCCTCCCCTCCTCCCCTCCTCCCCGCCTCCCCTCCTCCCCTCCTTCCCGCCTCCCCTCCTCCCCTCCTCTGCTCCTCCCCTCCTCCCCTCCTTCCCTCCCCGCATCCCATCCTCCCCTCCTCCCCTCCTCCCCTCCTCCCCTCCTCCCCTCCTCCCCTCCTCCCCTCCTCCCCTCTTCCCCTCCTCCCCTCCTCCCCTCCTCCCCTCTTCCCCTCCTCCCCTCCTCCCCTCCTCCCCTCCTCCCCTCCTCCCCTCCTCCCCTCCTTCCGTCCCCTCCTCCCCTCCTCCCCTCCTCCCCTCCTTCCCTCCTTCCGTCCCCTCCTCCCCTCCTCCCCTTCCTCTCTGTCCAGGCAGTGAGAGGGCTGAGCATCAACGTGCGCAGCAAGTTTCTGAATATGGACCAGGCGCTCTATGTCAAATCCTCTCCACCCCTTCCCGCTCCCCCTCCTCTCTGTCCAGGCAGTGAGAGGGCTGAGCATCAACGTGCGCAGCAAGTTTCTGAATATGGACCAGGCGCTCTATGTCAAATCCTCTCCACCCCTTCCCGCTCCCCCTCCTCTCTGTCCAGGCAGTGAGAGGGCTCAGCATCAACGTGCGCAGCAAGTTTCTGAATATGGACCAGGCGCTCTATGTCAAATCCTCTCCACCCCTTCCCGCTCCCCCTCCTCTCTGTCCAGGCAGTGAGAGGGCTGAGCATCAACGTGCGCAGCAAGTTTCTGAATATGGACCAGGCGCTCTATGTCAAATCCTCTCCACCCCTTCCCGCTCCCCCTCCTCTCTGTCCAGGCAGTGAGAGGGCTGAGCATCAACGTGCGCAGCAAGTTTCTGAATATGGACCAGGCGCTCTATGTCAAATCCTCTCCACCCCTTCCCGCTCCCCCTCCTCTCTGTCCAGGCAGTGAGAGGGCTGAGCATCAACGTGCGCAGCAAGTTTCTGAATATGGACCAGGCGCTCTATGTCAAATCCTCTCCACCCCTTCCCGCTCCCCCTCCTCTCTGTCCAGGCAGTGAGAGGGCTGAGCATCAACGTGCACAGCAAGTTTCTGAATATGGACCAGGCGCTCTATGTCAAATCCTCTCCACCCCTTCCCGCTCCCCCTCCTCTCTGTCCAGGCAGTGAGAGGGCTGAGCATCAACGTGTGCAGCAAGTATTTCGAGATGGACCAGGCGCTCTACGACCTCCGCCAGCGCCACTTCTTTCATGAAGACGAGGGTGCGAAAACAGAAGATAGTGTTGAATTTCGCTCAAATGACTAGATATGGAGAGGTGATGTGTGGGCATGAGCAAAACCCGAAGACGAAGGTGTTTGATTTTGGTGGTGAAACTCAAGCCGTTGTGGGTGGCGGTACTTCTTGCCCCATTAGGTTATTAGATTAGGTGGGATGGGTATTCCTGGCGCCTTACCTGATCTTTGTCTCTTTTTCTCTCTCTTCCACTCTCTTATGAACCAGCAGCACTTGCAGCAGCACTTGCAGCAGCGGCTGCAGAAGCAGCAGCAGCACCATCATCAGCTGCAGCAGAGGGGGCGGCAGCAGCTGCTGCAGCAGAAGGGCTGGCAGCAGGTGCTGCAGCAGCAGGAAGGGGGCAGCGTGCTTGTGTTGTTGTAGAGATGGAAGTAGCACAGCCATATGCGTGCCGAGAATTCTCTTTGGCAGAGCTGGCCACAGCCACAGGAGAGTGGGCAGAGGGAAACAGGATAGGAAGTGGCGCCTTCGGCGTTGTCTACAAGGGAGTGTCTCCCCACGATGGCAATCAAGCTTGGGCAGTCAAGCGAGCTCGAGTGCTCACAAACGACTTCCAGAGAGAGGTACCTGAAGCCATGTTGTGAGTTGTTTATTTAGAATTCTAAATAGCCAACGCGCTTGAGTGCTCACAAACGACTTCCAGAGTGTACTATGTTGTATCTGGTACCATGTTGTGAGTTTTTGTTGGTACCACGTACTTGCTGGTTCCACGGTTCTTGCTGGTTTCGCGTTTCTTGCTGGTTCCATGTTTCTTGCTGGATTCTTGTGCCAAGTGCAACATTGTTGTTAGTTGGATAGAGATTGGTCCAACATAGGCTGACATTGGTTTCTTAATCGGTTCCCCGTTTTCCGACCATCAGGTGAAAGGGATGGCAAGCAAGCACCATCCGCATCTTGTGCGTCTGTTGGGCTATTGCATTGACTTTGACCCGTCCACACGAACCATGGAGCAGCTTCTTGTCTATGAGCTCATGCCCAACGGTGACCTTGACCGTTGGATCGGTCCCGGTGTCTCCAACCCTCTCTCGCTGCAACAAAGGCTGGACGTTCTGATTGGAGTGGCCAAGGGGTTGCTGTACCTTCACGACTTTAACATTGTGCATCGCGACATCAAGCCAGCCAACATTCTCCTTGATGGAAAAATGCAGGCATGCTCAAAACATCAAAGCCGTGTTGCATGTGGAAGAAGGTGCTTTGTTTATCCGTTTTGTTCATCTTTTTCTACCATCATGGGATATTTTGAACAGGCCAGCATAGAGTCACGTCTCTAAATCTCCTGTTGCATGATGATGCTGTTGCGGTTGATGATGTGCAGGCAAAGTTTGCCAACATTGGTCTTTTGAAGCTGTGTGGTTTCGAGGCGCCACAAAGCTAGATTCATGTTGCGTGATGATGCCGTTGTTGTGGTTGATGATGGGCAGGCAAAGGTTGCAGACTTTGGGCTTGTGAAGCTGCTTGGAGGGACATCTGTGGCCACATCTGAGGCTGCCACCCGACTGGTGGGAACACTGGGCTATATGGACCCTGAATACTGCAGCTCACACAAGCCTTCTCCTGCTGTCGATGTGTACAGGTGAGTAGATTGGCACAGCATGGGTAAGCACATTGGTGCATGTCAGAAGATTGGTACAGGTGAGCAGATTGGGACGAAATAACCATCCAACAGGCATCTTATGTTTGCGAAAAGTCTCCGGGTTCTGTTTTTTTTACCTTCACCGTGTTTTTTTGCCTCGTTTCTTAGTGGCTGTTCGTGGCTGGCATTTGAGGCATGCTTGCCATGCCTGACCAATCAAAGGCTCTGAAATTCTTGGCCACTTTACGATGGGGGTTTGGGACACAAGTATTGTGAAGGTCATATTAATGATGTTTTTTCTATGGAGACTGTCCAATGCATCTTCTAGAGGTGTCACAGGTGAGCATCACTTTAAGTTGATGTCCTTTCTGGGTGCCTTGATTGCAGTTTTGGCTTGGTGATGCTGGTGGTTCTCACGGGGCGCGAGGCTGTGCTCGTTGTGGAGGGCGACCACGTCAATATCAAGAGATGGGTGAGGCATACCTCACAACGGTATACAAAGCCTAGAAAACGTCCAAATGGGGCACTAACACCATTTTCCTAAGTCCAAGTGCACTTCCGCAACTACACACAATGAATAGGTTTACTTGCCTACCACCTTGTCATCCTCTCTTCCTTTCTCCACAGGACACATGCCGTATTGAGCAAGGTGAGTATTACGACAATATCTTGTTTCACCCTGCACCTGTCACACAATCAGCTATCCTATCCTACTGCTGTCTACCTTGTTGCTCCTCTCCCTAGCATAGGCTCTTTCAAACCGCACACCCTTATTTCAAACTACTCACACCATCCCATGCGTCTACAGCCTCCTCATTAATACACCGTTTTTCTGCCACCTATACTGTTATTCTAGTGTATTGACAGATTTGCACTTCATGCAACACTCCTGCTTTTAGAAAGCCTTTTTCGTATACCAAATTATTTCAACCTCGCAGGTAGCCCCACTGGTGATCTCTGGAGCAGTGGCAGAATTCAAGGACCCTCGTTTAGAAGCACCGGATGAATTGGTGCTGTGCTTGGCTCGCCTTGCCCTCTCCTGCACTGCCCTGCCTGGGGCCTCCCGCCCATCCATGCTCCAAGTGCTGGCTGAGCTGGTGAGGATAAAGCAGGAGATGTTCGGGGCGCAGGTGAGCGCAGAGGTTTCTGGCATCGACACGGAAATTGGAGGCTCTGATGGCCCCTTTGACTTCAGTGCTGAAATGGCCCGCGCGATGCGAGAGGCTGTTAGTCACGGCTCCTCAACTAGCATGCCATAGGATAGGAGTAAAACATGCACCACCTTTGCAAGAGTCCACAGTGAAAATGCCACAAGAGTACGTCATGTGCTGCTGCTGCACTGGTACTCCTTTATAATAGAGCCATGGTTTTCTATGCCTTTGTATTTAGTGCATTGGAAGGAGGGGGACTGGGTAGGGAGCCGGCCATGCGAGGGTCAGCAGTAGCATGTGAGGGATGTGAGGGATACCAGTAGCATATAGGGAGATACATGGATGCAGCTTAAGAGGGATACAGTCTTGGGAGATGGATTGGGTGACAATGCACCTGCTGGCAGATACAGACTATTTGTCTATTGCACTTTGGCATTCTAACACCCAGCTTGTTCAGTCTTGTTTGAACCGATGCAAGAAGTCCACTCTTGCCCTCAGCTCCTGCAGAAGCATGGACTCTGCTCCCTCGCCCCATGACCCTGACAACCGGAAGATTGCCTGGTGTGTGACAGAATGGTAAGTTGGCAATGGGGTCACAAGGCATGGTGAGGTGACTAAGTTTTGAGTCGACTCAAAGCAGCAGCATGGACTCTGCTCCCTCGCCCCATGACCCCGACCACCGGAACAGTGCCTGTGGTGTGGCAGAATGGCAAATAGGCAATGGGATTACAAGGCACGGTGAGGTGGCTAAGTGTTGAGTCGACTCAAAGCAGCAGCATAGACTCTGCTCCCTCGCTCCACGACCCTGACCACCGGAAGAGAGCCTGGGGTGTGGCAGAATGACAGACTGGCAATGGGGTCACAATGCATGGTGAGGTGGCTACACAAGTGGATATGAGTTGATACAAGAAAGGCCTAGATAATCATTCACAGATCACACACAGAGGCACACACCTTCACCTACTGCACACACCTGCATTTGCTGCATGGGTTTACAAGAGCGTTCATGAATCACACAGAGGCATGAGCCAGTTGCACTCCCCTGCTCTTTGGAGCATGCACCTGCACGTGCTCTACGCCCTTCTGCAGCATGGGCACATTTGCCTCCTCCAACCTCGCACAGATGACACGTGATGAGGGTCGATGTTGACAGAGAAGGCGTCGTAACCCTCGGTGTCTTACCACACATGCCCCTACTCCTGTTACACACACCTGCACCTGCTCTACACCCTTTTGCAGCATGGGCACGTTCGCCTTCTCCAGCCTTTCTCTCATCGTCGGCACGTCATCTGGGTCAATGTTGACGGAGAAGGCATCGTAGTTGAATGTGTCATGCCACGGGGTGTCATGCTCACGGAAAAACGTCACTGGGATGCACCCTGAGATCTGGGCCTGGTGGGTGAGGAGAGGGAGGGGGAAAGGAGGGAGGAGAGATTGGGGAGGGAATTTTGAGTTGACTCAAGAGTCACCGAGTAAGCACTGCCAGGGGTTGTCATGCTCGCGGGATGCACCCCGAGATGAGCGCCTGGTGGCAGGTGCTGTAGGGGGAGGAGCGAGGTGGGAATGGGTGGAGGAAGGAGAGGGGGGAAAGACTTATGAGTCGACTCGGTATCGCTGACAGGGGTTGCCATGCTCGCGGAAAAACGTCACTGGAATGCACCCTGAGGTGAGTGGCTGATGGGTGGCAGAAGAGCGGGAAGGAGGGAGGGGATAGGATGAGAGAAGGGGGGTGAGAGAGGGGGGAGGCAGGGAGGTGGTATAAGACATAAGTTGGGGAGGCTGACAGGGTTATGAGCTGCAAGGGTGTGTGCTGGCATGTTTTGGTGGGTGCCGCCATGCAGCATTCGGCGCCATGCAGCATGGGACGCCATGCAGCATGGGACGCCATGCAGCATGGGATGCCATGCAGCATGGGACGCCATGCAGCATGTGACGTCATAAAGCCAGCAGTTAGAGCCTTGTGGGGAAGTGGAGGCTGGTCCAACTCGCACCTTGAAGGGGCGGCTGGTCCATTGGGAGTGGCCGGGCGGGATGTCGAAACAGTAGGCGAAAACGAGAAACAGGAAAGAGTGGATTTCACTAGCAGCAGTTGAGATACATATAGGAAACCCTAATTGGGTTGTACTCGCTATAGAGTACCCCACTGCAGGCTAGACAAACATCGACATTCTGACACACCCCCATAGTCAAAGTGGGGTACAATCAACACAACAAGCAGGCAGTGCAATAGTTCACAAGGATAAGCAAAGCTAGAGGCTATCACAGAGGGCAAGTGAGGAGGAGGAGAAACTATGGAGGACGAGAAGATGAGAGGCGACGGCTGAAGCCGCAGACACACGGGCAACAGGAGTGCGCAGCACTGACGCTACCAGGCTAAACCCGGGCTACACGGCGACAGGCGCAACTGGCTCAGTGTACTCCCAGGAGTGCTCACACTGTGGCTACCGGGCGCAGAGCCCCGGACCACACGGCCACAGGGGGTCGTGGCTCTCTGGACTACCAGGAGTGCTCACACTGTGGCTACCGGGCGCAGAGCCCCGGACTACACGGCCACAGGGGGTCGTGGCTCTCTGGACCTCAGGCGCTGCGGAAGACAAGTCGGCTACCTCCGGTCAACCTCCCCCAACTGTCCCACACCCCTTTCACACACCCCCTGCTGAACCACTAGCACCGCTCACACGCCACCCCCCTCGTACCACTCCGACGGCTCCAACACATCCACCCCCCTCAGCGGCAGCTGCAGCAGTGGGAGACGGAGGAGGAGGAGGAGCAGGGGACGGCTCACACACACGGCACCCCCATACTCTCCACCCCCAAACCCTAACACAGGAGTGCGGTCAGAAGCTCGGGGGACGGCGTGCGGCACTGGGGCAGACGGTACGGGCCACTCACGGGCCTGGCGCAGGCGGGCTGCCCGAGCCGCGCGCGGGCCTGGCGCAGCCCGTACGGGCCGCGCGCGGGCCTGGCGCAGGCCGTATGGGCCGCACGCGGGCTGTACGGGCCGCGCGCGGGCCTGGCGCAGCCCGTACGAGCCGCGCGCGGGCCTGGCGCAGGCCGTACGGGCCGCGCGCGGGCCTGGCGCAGGCCGTACGGGCCGCGCGCGGGCTGTACGGGCCGCGCGCGGGCCTGGAGCAGGTCGCGCGGGCCGCTACGGGCGACGGGGGGCGACGCGCGGGTCCCCGGGGGCGCTGCGACGGGCGACGGGGGGCGACGCGCGGATCGACGGGGCAGAAAACCGCCGCGCGCCTCGGGGCGCACGGCGGGCAGAAAACCACCGCGCGCCCCGAACGCGCGGCGGGATGAAAAATACGCCGTGCACCCGAGCGCGCGGCAAGCAGAACACGTCGCGCGCCCGGGGCGCGCGATAGGCAGGACAGCAGCGGAAGCATTAGGTGGCGGGCCCATCCACAGGGTCGACCCAGGAGGGTCGACCTGCTCTGATAGCATGTCGAAACAGTAGGCGAAAACGAGAAACAGGAAAGAGTGGTTTTCACTAGCAGCAGTTGAGATACATATAGGAAACCCTAATTGGGTTGTACTTGCTATAGAGTACCCCACTGCAGGCTAGACAAACATCGACATTCTGACACGGGCAGATGCAGAAGACGCTGTGCTGTCAGTCCTGGTGCGTCCTCTCCTCGCTCTTCGGGAACAGGTCCCATCCCGGTGCCATGTCCGCCTTGGCTGCCTGGGCGGGGAAGGGGAAAGGGTAGGGGGGAGATGAGAGGCGGAAGGAAGGAGAGTGTGTGTGGAGTTGGTGCCAGTCCTGATCCGTCCTCTCCTCGCTCTTGGGAAACAAGTCCCACCCCGGTGCCATGTCCGCCTTGGCTGCCTGAGGTGCACGGAGAGGAGGGAGGATAGGCGGAGGGGAGATGAGTGTGTGTGAGTTGGTGCCAGACTTGATCCGTTATCTCCTTGCTCTTGAGGAAGAGGTCCCACCCCGGTGCCATGTCCGCCTTGGCTGCCTGGTAGGGGGAGGGGAGGAGCGGGGAAACAAAAGAGAAGAGAAGAGAGGAGAGTATGTATGTTGCTGCCAGTCCTGGTCCGTCCTCTCCTCGCTTTTGGGGAACAGGTCCCACCCCGGTGCCATGTCCGCCTTGGCTGCCTGGAAGCAGGGAGGAGAGATGGGGAGAGGAGAGGAGAGGAGAGGAGAGGAGAGGAGAGGAGAGGAGAGGAGAGGAGAGGAGAGGAGAGGAGAGGAGAGGAGAGGAGAGGGGAGGAGAGAATAGGAGGAAAGAGGAGAGGAGGAAAGAGGAGAGGATGAAATTGGAGAGGAGAGGAGAGGAGGAAAGAGGAGAGGCCAGTCCTTTGCTCGCTCTTTGCGAACATGCCCCCTGGGTCTCATGTCTTCCTTGGCTGCCTGTGGTGCACGGAGAGGGAGGCAAGGAGAGAAGACTGAGGGGAGAGGAGAGGGGGAGGAGAATAGTGTGGGAGAACTCGGGGGAGGAGGGGAGAAGATGGGGAGGAGGAGAGGATACAACGGGGGAAGGAGAGGAGATGCGGAGGAGGAGAGGAGGGGAGGGGGGAAAACGCTGTGAGCTGGTGCAAGTGACAATCAGTCCTCTTGTTGCTCTGTGGCAGCATGGCCCACCCTCATGCCATGCCCTCATGCCATGCACCCTCATGTCATGCACCCTCATGCGATGCACCCTCCTGCCATGCACCCTCATGCGATGCACCCTCCTGCCATGTACCCTCATGCGATGCACCCTCCTGCCATGCACCCTCATGCCATGCACCCTCATGCCATGCACCCTCCTGCCATGCACCCTCATGCCATGCACCCTCCTGCCATGCACCCTCATGCCATGCACCCTCCTGCCATGCACCCTCCTGCCATGCACCCTGCATGGATGCTATGAGTCCTGAGATTGTATTTGCCATGTCTACGGCAGGCGGGTGCGCAGAGGAGGAAGGCAGGGTGAGGGGGGCAAGTGGGGGGGGACCCTAAGTGCAAGCAGTGACGGCCCTGAGACGCCCAGTAGCACATGCTTGTGGGGCAGCGCAGCATGCAGTGCAATCTCACCCTCCTCCTCTTACTTGTATGATTCTGCTGCGCACATCCAGCAGCACATCCTTGTTTAAATCACTTTTGAGAATTCTCAAACATGATTTAAATTTAGTGGGGCAGTGCCCGGCGCGCTGACCTGAATGCAGTGCAGTGCGGAATGCTGTGCAACACCTTCTCCCCCCCCTCCCACTCATCTGGATGATTCTGCCACGGACGTCCAGTAGCACGTGCTTGTGCGGCGATGTCAAAAAGTGGAAGGTAGCCGTCCATTTGGGCGACGAGGCCAGGGGTGACAGCTGAACGTGGAATGCAGTGCAGTGCAGGTCGCAAGGCGTGCAATGCAACATGAAGTGCAATCCCCCAAAACTGACCTGAATGATTCTGCTGCGGGTATCCAGCAGCACATGCTTGTGGGGCGACGCCACGAAGCGGAAAATAGCCGTCCACTTGCGCGGCGTGGCGAAGGGAGACACAAACGGCACCTGGGCGCGCACAATGACGGGCACGGGGATGTCCCGATCCGGCATGTAGCATGGGATGGAGGGGATGGTGGGGTCTGCTGGCGCGCCGTATTGATATGATAGCAGCTGCAGGGTTGGGGGGTGGGGTGAGAGGAAAGGGGTGCGAGGGGGGGATGAAGAGGGAAAGAGGGGAAGATGGGGCGAGACGAAGGACTCCTGGGCGCGCACAATCATGGGCACTGAGGTGTCCCGATCCGGCATGTAGAATGGGATGGTGGGCTCTTCTGGTGCATCGTACTGATATGATAGGAGCTGCAGGGGGTGAGGGGGTAGGGGGTGAGGCCAGGGAAGACACAAAGGCCACCTGGGCGCACACAACCACAGGCACGGGGATGTCTCTGTCCGGCATGTAGCATGGGATGGAGGGGATGGTGGGGTCTTCTGGTGCACTGTCGTACTGGTATGATAGGAACTGGGAGGGGGCGAAGGGGGGAGGGGGTTGAGGGAGGTGGGTGAGGGGGAGTGGGTGGGGATGAGTTGGTGCTGCTTGTCGTATGTGGGATGTCACACAAACTGGTATGCCGGTTTTGAGACGTCTCAAAATCCATCCTCTGCTTGTAGTCTGTGGGATGTCACACAATCCGGCATGTAGCAGAGGATGGATGGGATGGTGGGTTTCGTTTGGTTCAATGACAATGCCAATGACAATGCCAAGCTCTCCGCCATGGCGTCTCCTAGGTTTCTCGAGTTGGCCGATGCCTAGCAATTTCTTGCATGATCTCAAATCTGATGTAATGTTACGATGCAAGTTACAAAGCTCTACACAATGGTCTACTTTTAATGTCCAAAAAGGGGACATTGCTAGGTCATTGACGAGTTCCAGGCATCTCAGCTACTTATCATCAGGCTCTGATCTGTTACCAAGGCAAATAACATCCCAAGGGAACCATGGATTTCTACGCAAAGATAAGAACAACCACCAAGGCTATTTTGCAATCCCTACGTTATCAAGCATTGGTCACCCCAAACGACTGCACGAGGTCACTTTCAACCAAGGGATCCGCTGGAAGGGAGATCATCATAAAAAGCGAAGGATTTCAGTGCTCAGACAACACTCAGTATCAGCCATCATCAGGCTGTTCTGTGTTTCTCATCATCGCACGATGCCACGGGTTCCCAGGACCAACGCAACCAAGACGACCAAGGTCACGGGTCAAGATGTTAACGACGTCACCAACACTCCGCCGGACTCCCCGTTGAAGGATGACACGCTGCAGCACTTACCCGCCAAGCCGCTTCCGGCGTCCTCATCAGATCCGCTTCTGTCTGCTCTACCGACCGCTCCTGCTGGGACAAGCAACGCAACTGTCAAGGGGAAAGGCGTTGACGAGGTTAACGCGAACGATGCGACGAATACGTATGGTGTTGACAAGCCAATCAGTAACGCGGAAAAAGACGACTCTGATAATGAAACGGCAGCTGAAGAACTGGACCTGGAAGAGGAAGGAGATGGATACCTCAGCGACGACTCGGATGAGATGTTTGATCCAGTTGTTGCAGCTGACATTGCATCACAGACAAAGGTCTCTCTAACCCTGTTGGTGCCTGTTAACAGGATCGCGGAAGTCCCGCGTGCTAAGGCTACGATTGTTGCCCTGCTTGATGACTGCAAGGAGCATCTCTCACCAGATGTGCTGCAGACCACCACCTACCTGAAGCTTCAGCCGACCTTTCTCTCCCGGCAGAGGTTCGGGAGGCTTCAAGTCACATTTAACAGCGCGCGTGATGCGGAGTTTGTGCGTGAACAAGTCATTGACCATGAATGTGTAGACGACAAGTTTGTGAAGCTTACCTGGCAGTTTCCGGAGAATGCACGCTTCCTCAGGGAGCGCTCTATCAATCCATCGGCTGTTGAAGTGGTGTTGAAGTCGGTCCCGGCGGAAATCTCACCTGAGATGGTTCGTCGTACGCTGGTGGAGGCAGTAATGGTCAAGAGAGGGAAGAGTGCCTTTGCGAGTGGCTACGGTTTTCACCGTACGACTGATCCTGTCTCCGGAATGGATACTGACCGCATCAAAGGTTTGGTGGTTCCACATGTCGCTGATAAGTACCGCTGGCTCCACGTCGCGGAGTTCCAGTCTTTACCTGGAAGGAAGTTCCTCATCCATTTCCCGAGTGTTACCTGCGACTACTGTGGTGGCCAGCATCTGACCCGCTATCATGATGACTATGTCACTCCACGCCGCGACAACATGAGCCGTTGGAACCTTACGGTAGCTAAGGCTCACAGATTCAATGGTACAGGGAGCAGTGTCCTTACCTCGACTTCGTAACCCGTGTTTATTGTTGCTGACGACTATACTGACCTTTCCGCTTTTGACCTCCCCCGCAGCGGCCTCCTTGAAAGTTTCAGATCTGCTGAAACGTATTCTGAAGGATCCGGCCCTGGTCCTGGTCTCGACTGGATGGTTGCGAGAGGAGTGGATCTGCGTTCAGGCAGCTTGCGAGAAAGCTCAGGGTACCCGCTTCGAACAGGCTTCGGCTCACATCGCCTCTGCACGACACAGGGGGGGGTTGCGCAAGTCAGGCGCTGCAACACGTGCGGCAAAAGGCTCCCAGAGGCTTAGCGACTTCAAGAAGGATTTCGGAAAGAAGCCGGAAAAATGAGTAGCAGTGAAATGGAGAACGACTTACTGGAGATCGCAGTATCTGGAGTCATGATCGGAGGTGTAGCAGTTGTAGGTGGAGTACTGGCAGTGTTTTTGTCGTATGCTGTGGCTGTTAGCATCTCATCAATGAAGTCTTTACGCCCGTGGATGCTGAGGGGCTTAAGCAAGTTAGTCAATGGATAAACACCACAAACTCACCTTTCTCGAGCTCAACATCAACGGGCTCGGTAGCAACGGCAAGCGTGAAAGATGCGGGTATTGGATACGGAAGGCAGCTAACATTGTTGTACTAACGGACACGAGGATACCGGATGACCAAAATTTCTGGAGTCAGCTAAGGCCAGATGCAGTTGCAGCAGTTTCGCCAGACCAGAGAGCAAGCGGTGTGGCAATACTAGGCGTTGCACCAGGGATTCGTTTCAAGGAGGTTGTGTCCCATGGCTCGGGGAGGATTCTGAGTGTTACCTTTACTTGGCAGCAGCAGGATTACAAAGTGGTGGCGGCGTATTTCCCGGCTCAAACTACGAACAGGGGGGAGTTCTTCCGGGACGCTCTGTCACCTTTTGTGCATGGTCTGCCGATGACAACTCACACGATTTTCTTGGGAGACTTGAACATAGTCGCAGATCCGGACCTGGACAAGTCCTCCAGGTTGGGATCACCGGCAGAAAACCAGCGCTTTCTACAGATCTGCAGCGGCTGGGACCTGCAAGACTCATTTAAAACGCTCCACCCAACAAGGAAGGAACTCATCTTTTTCTCTCGCTCGTCGAAGACTAGTACGCGCATTGACCAGATCCTGATGTCGAGGTCGCTGGTTGGACAGGTGCTGGAAGCAAAGCACACCTTCGTCCCGGTCGGCATCACTGATCACTGGTTTGCGGTCCACGCCACAGTGCAGGCTGCGGTTCCTGGGGAAGGGGGCCCGGGGCTTTGGAGGCTGCAGGCAACCCAAACAAGAGGAGAAGGGACGGAAAAAATAATCGAAGCAGTGGTGGCCGATCACCAGAGGAAATCAGATCAACCCCTTGAGTGTCTGCTGACGAACCTGAAGGCGAGTCTGAGAACGCATACGACTGAGGAACGGAAAAGGGTGAAGGCTACAATGTTGCATTTGGAAAAGAAGGTGGTGAGAATAAGGAGTCTGCTGATGGCGAACCCGACAGCACCAAGGCTGTATGAGGAGTTGGTGAAGTCGGAAGCGGCCTCGAAAGAATACTAGGAGAGGAACAAGGTCCGGCTGCAGGTGTTGTCGGGAATGACGGTGGAGCTAGCGAGTGAAGCGCCGACTGGTTACCTGTCCGGCCTGATTAAGTCGAAGAAGGAAAAGACAGAAATCCATGAGGTGTCAGTCAACGGGCAGAGCGTCACGGGGGCAAGAGAGGTGCTGGAGGCCACAACAGCGTTCTTTCGGGACACTTTTGCGGGCCCTCTGCAGAAGGTTACAGAGGAGGGATGGGAGGTGGCAGAAGACAAGCGCCTGCTGGACAAGGATAAAGAGGCACTCACCAGACCATGGTCGGAGGAGGAAGTAAGAACAGCACTCAGGGAGCTGCCAACGGGGAAAGCACCGGGACAGGATGGATTGCCGAAGGAGCTGTTCGAGCAAAACTGGGGCCTCCTGGGAAAGGAGGTGATGAAGCTGGTTGAGGTCTTTGAGAAGGACGCGCTGCTGCCGGAGCCTTTCATGACGGCGGTGACGATCCTTCTGCATAAGAAGGGAGTGAGGGAGCAGTTAGGAAACTACCGCCCGATAACTTTACTCAGTGTGTTGTACAAGCTAGTGGCGAAGGTGCTGGCTAACAGGATAAAAAAAGTTATACCACAGGTTATCTCGGAGAGACAATACGGTTTCATACCTGGGAGACGGTTGGCGGATGCGGTATCAACGGTTGCGGATGTGATCGACGCGGCAGCGGAAGGAGATGAGGATTGGCTGCTGCTCCTGGTCGACTTCCAAAAGGCTTATGACTCGGTCTCGAGAGAGTTCCTTTTCAACACGATGGAGAAGATGGGTTTCCCGGTCAAGTTCATCGCCTGGGCAAAGGGACTTCATGAGGGAGCGGGAACAAAGCTGATGGTTAATGGCTGGTTAGGAGACAGAATTGGGATGGAGAAAGGGGTACGGCAAGGATGCCCGCTCGCTCCCTATCTCTTCCTCTGCGCGGCGGAACCTCTCTGTCAGGAAGCGGTGGACTGACGTATGTAGGCTACGGTGACGACACCACTTTAGCCCTGCACGGTCAAGAACAAGTGGTGGCAGCCAAGCGGCTGCTGGATGAGTTTGGACTACGCTCAGGGTTGTATATCAACCAGGAAAAAACGAAGCTGATGCCACTGGGGAAAAACAGGAGAAGACAGCAGCCCACAGACTCACCGTTTCAATGGGCAGCGCAGAACGAGCCGGAACGCCTCCTTGGCATTTGGGTCACATCGGGAGGGTCGCCGGAGCCGTCCTGGTATAAGGCCTTTGAGCGGATGTGCGGCGAGCTGAGCAAGTGGGACTCGAAACATCTGACGACCTCTGCCAGGGTGACAATCGTGAATAGTTACGCGATGCCAATTCTACTGTTCCAAGCACTGGTGTACGCGCCACCGCACGAGATCTGGTTGAAGGTGAAGAGAATCTGCCATAACTTCATTTCAAAAGGGAAGGCGTCCTTCGACAGATTCTTCATTTTATGGAGTTTCGAGCTATCCTGCAGAGACCGGAAGGAGGGGGGACTAGGGGTGATCAGTCCGAAGGAAAGATTGGGCAGTATCGCGATTCACAACATCGCGAGAGGTGCAGCAACGAGGGATCCGTTCCGTAACTGGCTCTGGGAGAAGGCGGCTGGCTTCCCACAAGGACTCGCGATGGTGTACGCCCACCCGGCGATCATGCAACACTGGCTGAAGGGTGGAGTGAGATGGAAGGCGACGATTGAGGCCCTCTGGGAGACAAAAACGGGGGTGATCAGGGAGACAGCAAACCGGTGGGAGGCGGAAGGGGAATTTTTGCTCTTCAACAGAGCAATCTTCTTCAGAGGAAAGTCTCCGTTCGGGAAGCAACAGGGCTCCGACTGTTTACAGGGGGTCACGCTAGGGGATCTAATCAAGAAAGGAGCGGATGGCAGCAGAACGGTGAAAGACGAGGCGACTTTCGAACGTGAGCTAGGGGGAGTGGAGCAGAGGAAATGGGCGATGAAAG